CTTTCTTTCTTTCTTTCTTTCTTTCTTTCTTTCTTTCTTTCTTTCTTCTATTACCCATTGAGCATCCAGTGGGTGCATGGCGCCGTACTTGCTGCGAAAGATCTGAGTAGAATGTTGGTTTTTCTGTAACTACAGGGGAAAAAAACACAACTCATTAGGCTATCCCTTTGTGTCAATGAAACCAAAAGTGCTTCTTATAACTTTATCTCCATTCATGGCTTGTCTACCTAATGTCTAGCAGTATTGGAGAGACCGCAGCTGAGTGATGGGGACACATCAACTCATGGCCTCAGTCAGTTCATTCTTTAATTTCCTCACCAAATTATTGACTCAGAGCATAACCAAAGACCTCATCCATTCACCCCTGGCAGGTTCAGGGAATTGGAGTTTGATGGTAAAGCCTAGGCAGGGTGCAGGGAGTAGCAGGGCAGGGAGAGGGAGGAGTGAGAAAGGAAAGGCATGAAGTTCTATACCTCAGCCAGCAGCTGCCTTCATTTGCAACTGAAATCTAGCCAGCAGACCCTCTAGTTCCATCTCCCCTATGCTGCCCTAGGTCATGTGGCATTGGCAGCCCTGGGTTACACCCAAACCCCCAGGATGTTAGTCTCAGGCTGCTGATGGGTTGATTTGATATGAATCAAATACAGCCAAACTTGATGGCCACAGATTGTCAGCTGGGCCTGACTGAGTGCTGCCCCAACTCCTATGACAGCAAGATCATGGAGATAGGATAGAGTAAATCTTTACTGGTGGGTCATTGTGTGAAAAAGAGGTGTCCCCTTTATAAAAAGATTTTCAAGTGGATATGTATATTTAAAAAGTTGCTTGTGAAATATACTTTTGTAAATAATATTTAATTTTTTAAATAATATATTTGGTGCTGTTTTCTCAGATCCCCTGAGAGCACTTTTTATTTTCATTTTTAAATTCTATGGTTTCCTCTGCATTTCTTGAAGTATATTTTAAGGGAAATAGTGATCATCAATATACTCTTTTTAAAAAAAGATCTGTATCACGTTAGTCTGGACTGAGGCAGTAAAGCAATGCCTCTCTGCATTTCTTTCCCGAAGGAACAGACTCTGCGCTACATTACCAGGTTGAGAATTGAAATATTTTCTTGTACCAGTATTGGCTAGAAAAGAAAATAAATAAAATCAAATTTAGTAACAACGTAGTGATTCCTTTTGTTAGAAGAATTTCCAACAAATTGGGATCTTGTTTTTAATGTGTGTGTGCGCGCACACACGCGCACACTCACGCACACGTGTGTGCAAAAAGCACTTTGGATTGTGCCTCCTGTTTTTTTTCTTTTTTCTTTTTTTTTTTAATTGGGGACACTATATCTACAGTTTACACCTTCGGCACATAAGACTTTTCTTCTCTTTCTCTCTGGTGGTTTTGTTTCTGAGTGGACCAACAGTGCAAACCATGAGGATTTTGTTTTTCTGAGCATGGAGCTATTGCCAGTTTGCTCCTCTTTCGTTGTGTGCTCAACTTTCACAGATTGTAAAGGAAATCTGTTGTTTTGTGAAGACCAGAGTCAAATCTGTATTTCTGAGATGTGAGTGTACTCCTTATGTACCGTAGGGTTCCCTTTGTTGTAAAAGCCACCTCATTAACTGGTTTGGGTTAAAAGAACATCAGTAAAATCATACACAATACCTTGTAGGTAAACAGCTTATTTTATTTCAAGATCAGATTGCCTCAGGTTCAGGAAGAGGCTAGGAAATCTTAAACCCAATCAACTTACATATTTTAAGAAAGAGTCTGACTCTTAACAGAAAACGTACTAGTGGTCAAGGTGGAGGAAAGAGATGTTTAATCTTCTTAAGCAAAATACAGTCATGAAATCTGCCAGCAGTGAAAGGTAAAGCCAAGAAGAAACAAGCTATAATCATCACCAAATTGGATCTGCCTATATGTTTTTATATAACATTTTGGTGAAAGTGAGAGTCGGTTCCCTTTTCCAACCTGCAGAGACGATCTTTCGATAGAATAGAATCTGTCTATTTATGCTTGTGTTTACAAACTGTATTTGTTGGGTTTGGGTTTTGTTATTTTCTTTATCTTTTTTTTTTTTTTTTTTTGGTGGCATTTTTCAGGTCACTTTGCTTCAATAACAAAGATAATTATTTTCAAATAATTTGTCCTCACTTTTTCCTGTATTTGTACATAGTTATTCAGTATTAGAGAAAAGTGCATTGTTTCTGTCATATTTCAATCTGTGTTGGTGCTCATTTGAGAAAATAAAGTTTTCAAATATTTGGAAGGCTCATCTAGTCTTAATTGACCCAGCAAGTTTTATCTTGACTTTTAACATTTAAAGTAACTGAAAAGCCTGCAGGAGGTCATCTGTCTAACCCCATTCACAGAGCTGTCAACTGAGACCCTGTGGGATTGTTTTCTCCAAGGATATTTGGCCAGTTAATGAATAAAAATCAGGTCTCCTGCTTATCTACAAATGTTTCTCTTATCTTTGGTATCAGAAATGCATGAGTGACCTTTAGGATTTCTGTCTACTAACCCCCATATTAGACTCTCCAAACTTTCCTGCTTATACAAATTTCTTTGGGGGAAATTGGATTGCATTAAGTGAAGAGATAAAAGAATTGTAAAAAAACAAAATTATGTCACAAAGAGGCAGCATTATCTCTGAATAACTGGCTAACAAAGGGAAATGAGTATTCAGTTATAGTATACGGAGAATCAAGTCTTCTCACTCACCGAACAACTATGAAACATACATTAGATTCTAGGCGCTGGGTGACGGTTCAACCATTCTAATAAATCAGCTGTTTTTGTTTGCCTCCAGGATCATCCACATGCATAGCTTTGCATAACCAGTCAGTGTAAGTAATTTTGTATTCTGGTGCCTTCATTTAACACAGTAAATATTTTTGCCTACACTTGATTTTATACCATAACTTTTCCAAAAGCTTTTCTCCATGGCTTAGAGAGTTCTCACCTTGGTTAGGCAATTTAAATAGGGAAGAAAGAAGATATTAAAACCACACAAGTGTGTACATATCCGTGTGTTTTCGTATTGGTGAAATTATTTTAAAAGTCTGTTCTGTATAAAATAAGAAATACCTTATCTACTTCCCATGAATTTTTACTTATGCATTCTGGGCTGAGCTGCAATTGACTTTTATTTGTCCTTGAGTATATTATCTTATTCCTGTGACCTGTTTTGCTTCAGTGGATGTGTCTGTTATCATTTCATTCTTGTTTGCCTTTGGCAGACCAGGAGGAGAGAAAAGATAATGTGTGCTAGATACAACCAGTTTCAAACCAGCAATCCTCACACTTCAAGCTCTTACACCTCAGGGGCTGTCCAGGAGATCAGGCTGGGGAAAGTGAGGGGAGATCACTGATGTTCATGGAGTGCTTGGCTTGCGCCACACCTTGAATCGGGCACTTTGCCTACATGACCTCATTTAAGATCCTCGCAGTGAGGCATTTCCTCACATCATCCCAGGAGTCCTCACCACCCTATGGGAAAGTAATGACAAATGCTGATTATTCCCATTTTATAGATGATGAAATTGAGGTTAGGAAGTTTTCATGGGAATGACAGGGTCAGGAATCATAGCCTGGCTTCCCAGCCCTATGGTCTTTCCCTACACTGTGTTCCAAATTTTAGCACCTCTTTTCCTTCAGCCTTCTTAATTCTTGTATGGCTTCTTCACAGGATGCTTTCTTAGCCTGCCTGTCATGACTGCTTAATAAGTAGGGGTTCAGGGAATGTGAATTAAAAATTAATTTAAGCAAAGCCACAAAGGTTGCTGCTGCCTGAAAGGTATTGTGTATCCCATAGCTGAGTGTAAGGTGGGCTTTGTTGTTTTCTAATACGCTGCAATAGATCCCATGTGTAATCCTTGGCCCCTTGATTAATAGTACATACTTAATATCTGGTTGGTGAACATTGAATTAATGTGGCCGGTGGAGAACTAAAAGCTTTCAAAATCTGTTTAATATGTTAGTACCCCTAAGAGGAGAATGGAGAGGAGGTTGGCATTAAATGCTTCCTACACAAGGTAGGTAAATGGTTAAATCAGGAGCAATCAGTTTACTATTTGCATTTATTTATTCAACAAGCATTTTTTGGACATCTATTATGTGCCTAGTTTAGTCAGGGAACTAATCCTTGGGAGCAGAAAATCAGTGGTACTAATTATGCAGAGTGGGAGAACAAAGGGTTATGCATGGCTCTCCCTAGTTGGCCAAATATCCAGCCACATCAACCACCACCCTCATGGGCAGCTGTTTCCTGCAGAAGTAATTGCTCATAAATCCTTTAATCTGAACCTAGAGCAGGGCACAGGGCATTCTCTGGAGTCAGTGAACCTGGTTTCAAATACTGGTTTCACTTAGTAAAAAGATAATCTATGTGCTCAGTGCCTGGCACATAGTAAGGACTCAGTAATAA